ATGGCACCATTGGGAAGCAGTGAAATCTTAGGATGTGCTGCCTAGGGAAGAGAGTTGTGGGACCCTCATCTTTTCCTCTCTCTCTTTTTTTTTCCACGTTTCACCATATGTTCTGTATTAGGGTTCTCTAAAGAAACAGAGCTGGTAGAATGAATATATATATGTATGTATAGAGATTTATCAGCTTAGCTCACAGGATAGAGTCCGAGTAGTCCAACAATGGCTGCACCATACTGGAGAGGCTGAGAATCCATAGTCGCTCAGTCCACAAGGCTGGATGTCTCAGTAGTCCCAATCTGGCACTGAAGGTCTGACAGATTCCAAAAGATCAGCTAGTCTTCAATCTACAGCAGCAAGACGAACTCACCAGGGAGAGAGAAGGCAAGCAGCAAGAAGCCTGGCGTTCTCCTCTGCCTTGGCCTTTTATACCGGCTGCCATCAGAAGATAATGCCCACATTTAGGGTGTGTCTTCCGGCTTAGGATGATCCAATCAAGAAGATCTCTTTCATTTCAGTTAATCTCAGATCCAATCAAGTTGACACCCAGGATTAGCCATCACAAATTCCCACAGTGATGTGCTACCATAAGCTCAAAGCCATGGAGCCAACCAACCATGGACCTAAACTTAGGAGACAAAACAACCATTTTCTCTTTATAAGCTGGTTCTCTTGGGTATTTGTTAAATTGTGGGAAGGGTGGCTGATACTCCACCACATGATTTCTAGGGGGCAACAGTGTCAGTCAGCACCACTGGTGCCAGAGCTGGCCATGAAGGCCATGGCAACAGGTCCCAAGAAGCCCAAACCCAGCAGCCACCGTATATCCAATGATGCTACCCTCATGGCCTTGGTTACTGGCTCCCACAATGTGCTCACAAAGTTGTTCCAAAGTTAGGAATAGCGTGTACTAGTAAGTGATTAACTAACACTCAGCAGAGGGGTGGGAAAAGGGAGGGAGAGGAGGGAGCCTAGCATGTCCCATTTGCCATTTTCTAGGGTGTAAACACTCTCATCATAGACATTAGCTACTAATGGACATCAGAGAACTTGAGGCCAGAAGAGTACACAGGAGCACACCATCACATAGGATTAACACTTCTACCACAGATACAACAGGCATCACCTAAAGAGCACAGGTAATTTTAACATGCATGTAAATGGAGGAAATGAAGACTTTTGACTATGTATCATCTTTGACTTTAACATAATTTATCTAAGCTTACATAACTCTGGTTTTAATAATGTCTGCACTTAACAACTACTTTTGAAAAGTCCCTAAAAAATGGAACTGCTGGTTCTTGTGAGTCCATATGATCCTGTTCTAGCACACAGCTGACTGGAAAAAAAAATGTGGTCACCACATGGTAGCTAAGAGTCCAAGTTCATGGTCCAGAAAAACCATCCTGGGATATCCAGAGATGACTGGGAAGAACTGCATGGAATGTGCATGGGGTATGGAGTGGGGACTGGTCACATATTGGATGGGGTCAAAGTCTGCAAGATGCTGTATTATTGTGGCTTTTTCTGAATCATGAGTAGCAAGTGAGACCCAATCCCTGGTTCAGGCGCTGAGGTCTTTTTCCTGTACCAATACAGATACACAGAATATTCCTATTGCATGCAGCTCCCCATGAGAAAAGACTGTTCCTCTTCCCAAACAGGGACCCCACCTTTCCCTAGAAATGCCTACCAGTGTCCTGAAGAATCTCTGACCTGCTCAGCTCCCTTCTCCATCACCCAGGGAGAGTCACATCACAAGGCCAATCTGGAATATATCCCTCAATACCCACCCACAGAAGTTCGGCCTTGGAGCTGAAGTAGCAGGAGAGATGTCCAGTTTGGCCCAGCAGCTTTGAAGAACCAAGGAGGTTCTATACAGAGTCAGATGCAGGGGTACAGTATGGAAAAAAGCAGCCCAAGTCCCCACAGAGAAAGGGCTAGGAAACAGATCTGTGCAATGACACAGCATGAGTGCAATTAATTGTTGTCAAAGCATTTGCTGGCTGTATTCATCTCTTATGTGGGAGAATAAAACTGTCACAGTGACGGCAACTTTATTCAACATTGGTGCAATTACCAAACCTAAAAATAGGAAGCAAAAGGGAGGTTTTTCTTGAGGGGGCTGAGCTATTACCCCTGTCACATGGCTGGACAGTAAACCCCACAAGATGGAGGGAGGGACCGGAAGGAAGCTGAAATTCAGTGAGTGTTGTATGTGCTACTATCAGGTGCATCTCACCCATAATCCTCTGGTGTAGAGGAGGGAGGGGCACTGGGGGGAGCATCAGAGGATGAGATCTACTGGACAAGACTTATAGTGACCAGTTCTCTACTAAGAGCCCTCTAGGCACGGTTGACTTATCACAACACCTATGGGAGGGATGGGCCTCAGTTTATAGATGAGACAGCAGAGTATCAACAGCTCCACAAGGTCCCCAACTCCAGTCTTTCTGATTGTAGTCAGTCATCCCAGGTTGCTTGTTGTGAGACGTGAGGCCAGCTGGACAGACTCTCTCCTCTGTCTTCATTCCTTTCCTCCTCTTTCTTTTTCATATCCCATCACCCTTTCTAGATTGCATTATGCTTTTGAGAATACAAAAACATCAAGACCCTAGAAGCAAAAACATTCAGGTTGACATTTGGACAAGTGTGATCGTGGCTTAGGCCCTTGATCTCCAGAAGTTTTGTACCAAAGCTTTCAACTATCATTTGAAGATAGTCATAGTTCCTGCTTTATAATATCATTATGAGGATTCAGTGAGACCATGGGTATCAAGTAAATGCTTTGCAGTGAGCCCAGTGCAATAAGCATTCAGTGGCAGGGGACAGCATGACTGGCTAGAGAAGGTGGCATTGAAATGAGGAGTCTGGACCTTGTCTGATCTCCACTGAGGATGCTATAGATGGGCACAAGCCTCAGGAAGGGCAGCTGGGTTCGGGGGACATTCACTCCATTCTCTCATGTCCAGTTGGCCTTTGTGGTCCTCCTGAAATGTGGGGGCCTGCCTTTCTTGGCCTGGACATTAGGTGGAGTATAGATTGCTGGGAAGACTTTCTCTCTGTGGAGTACTCACCATCCCCAGGCACTGTGCAAGTTATGAGCAGGCATGAATTCACCTCCTCTCTACAGCAAGTAGGGGCAGTGGGTATGATTCTCCTCCCACCTTAGGAAAGTGAACTTACCTGTCTCTTCACCCTCTCGGTCCCATTCTGACCCTTTGGGCACAGCTATAGGGCTGTAGCAGGAGAACAGGGCCCAAGCTCCAGACCGCCTCAGGCACTGACTGCATCTCTGAATCACCTGGATCTGTGCTTGGTATGTGGGTTCTACTTCGCTCAGTAATCACTTACTTTGGATTCTTGAAGTTCTGGGAATCTCAAGGCATTTCTCCTGCCTTGCTCTTTTTTCTTTCCATGGAGCACACAATGAGAGGAAAAGATGACCAAACAAGCAAAAATTATGTGAGAAGAGGCAGGCATGGATTTAAAGCCATGCCCCTGGCCAGCTGCACATATCTGCAAGGGACCCATCTTCTCAGAGTTCCATCATATATAAAACAGAGCAGAGCTGTCTCAGGTATTGTGATGAGGACAGGCCCAGAACAAGTGTGTACCGAACACCTGACATCACCCTCTGTGACTACTGTTGCCATATGATCACCCATCATGCAGCTGTTGTTGGGAGGGCTCACCTGAGGAGGGTGTGCCTTCCCACACTCCCTGATGTCCCATGAGCGTAGCAGGGGAAGCTGATCCTATCTGCTGTGGGCTCACTGGGAGGGTTGGGCAAGGTTGTAGTACAAGCTGGCATATACCTGTCAACAGCCCATCACACTTTTATTGTTTATTTATTTTTGAGATAGGGTCTCCCTGTAGCCCCAGTTGGCCTGGAACTCACTATGTAGACTGGGAGATCTGCCTGCCTCTGCCTCCTGAGAGCTGGGATTAAAGGTGTGCACCACCACGCTGGGCCCATTACACTTTTACAAATATCAAAAAATGTGCTTCTTCTGGGGACTGAAAACTTGCTGCAACTCCCAAGCGATCACTGGATTCATCCCCCCATCTCAATTAGTAGCAAAGGAGAAAAACTAGATATTTCTCTTTCAAAAAGGTAAGAGCTACCCAGGAGGCACAACAGCTTTTGAAGCTTTTAAAGAAATGAAACCTCTCACCTCCATTAATCAAAGAAAACCACGCCCCAAACACTTCCTCTAAAGCTCAGTGCTTTAAAATCTTTTCTTGTAAAAGTCAGTGCTGGCAGTTGAACTTTAGCGAGACCCTAAGCTACGGAGTGACAGAAAGAACATGTGCTCTTAAAGTCAAGCACTGGGATTCAAAAGTAGGTCCCAACTGCTGTATATAGGCAAGTCGCTCTCTCCCTTTGAGCCTCAGCTTCCTCACTTGCAAAATGGGGAAAAGGACAGTATTGGCTTCCAGGACTGTGTGGCGGGTTCAGTGGCATAGGAAAGCAGTCTGTAAAATGTAAAGCACCATCTCAGTATGAACTGTTGTTTACTACTGAGGGATGGTGTCAAATTTATCACTCAGGAAGTTGGTATGTGGTACAGACCACCTTTCCTGATTTGAATTTCTCAATTCTACATTAACAATGTTTGGATATTGATATCTCCTATTATAGGCTGCTTCAAAACCTTTTGAAAGAGGGTGAAGTATAAAACAAACAAACAGCCTCATGGTAAGAGGTGTGCGGACCCCTTACCTGCTCCATGTCAGTTGCTTGTGCAAGATGGCTACGGGGTTAGCTTTGCACCTGCTGCCCAGAATCCAGAGCTTGGTCAAGGTAACTAGCTTTCCTGGAACGACGGCCAGCTAAGGCTATGCAGCCCCAACAGTTTACCCAGTAGGAGCAAGGGCTCAGGCAAGGGCAAGTGTTCTCCCCAAACCTGGCTGTGAATTCCATGGTTTTATACCTCTGGCCCCTCAACAACACCACATTCTGTTTTCTTTCTTTCTTGTGAATTTTATTTTTCTCCATATTTTGTTTTCTGTAGAATTTTTAGAAGCATGTCTTTTTTTGAAAATTTTCTTTTGCTACCTACTAATTTGCCAACCATATGGAGATGTATCCAGCCTGGGATGGGTTGAAATGAGAGAGCCGGTGAGGTGACACTCACGTTGTCGCTGCATTTTAAACATAGCATACAACGTGTTACACAAACACCATTCAGAAACCTGAGTCACAGGTTTCAGATGCAGCTGGGTGCATTTATAAATAGCCTGTGTGTGTCAAACAGTAGAAAAGCAAGGAAGTTTGGGGAATAAAGTCAAAATCATTGTGCCCAATTTAAACATCATAAAAATCTCAGCCTTGTCATTATTTACAACCCCCAGTATAACTCCCACCCAAAAAAGAAGAGAAAGTGGAGTAGAACCTTCTAAATAGGCTGGTGTCCCCACGTTGAACTGAACCGCACAAAGGCTCAAAGGCTGCAGCAGCATCAACTGAAGTGATAATTACGTTGTCTCTCTTCCTGGCTGCCCATACCCATGGTACAGAGCAGCCGCTCTGCGGGGTTTCTGGGCTTGAAACTGCTTTGAGGTTTTTATGCAAAGGTGGCTTAGGCTCATGCCAGGCAGCTGATTGGCATTTACTAACTGATGGATTTTGGTACAACAGCGGAATATATCTTGGGATGATAAAGAACTGACACACGGGACATGTTACAAACACTTAAAAAAATCCATTTCCCCACACTCCCCCTCCCCAGTTCACACTGGACACAACACTGCTAACACACTGCCCGGTGCCCAGCTCAGGAAGCCATTGCCAGGCTCTCAGTCATGAGCAGATTATGGAAATAACCCAGTAGTAGGCTCAGGGAAAACCCCCAAGTTTTCACCCTCCACTGAGTGAGGCGTGTGGCCACAGCTCTGAAGAAATGTGACGAGTTTCAGGCAGCCCATGGTGTCCTTGAGGCTCTCAACCATCCTGCAGAGTTGGCCTTGACCCTGGGCCATTCTGTCCCTTAGCTGGTACCTCTAACTTCTGGCTTTATCCCCATTGTCCAGGCACTCGATGTGACCTCACAAGATGCTGCTCAGTGAAGTGGATGCAGGAAGCAGTGACTGCATCTCCAGAGGCTCAGTGTAAACCAGCTACTCGCTGGTGCCCCGATGCTCAGAAGCACTCTGCAATCCATGTGGGATGTGAACGGCGAAGGCAGTGATACACACAGCAACAATGGACAACGCACAGTTGACACACTCCTAGCTGCTGTGTGACTCCAGTTCCTTCCATTCAATCTCTCCCTCAGCCCCTTCAGGCCTTTCTCAAGCCACAGCAGCAAGTTCCCAGCCTTGGCCTCTCCGTCTTCGAGGTATGAGTTAGGAGCTCACTAAGGTGTAGATCATGCTGAATGCAAATAGAAAAGGGGAAACAAGTATGAGCAGAGCCTGCAGCTCTCAACAGGCCCCTTCCAAGGCTGGACCCCATGGCTTCACCCTCATTCCTGTTTCCACAGTCTCTGACCAACCTACTACTGTGGCCTTGTGACACACCACAGTTCAGACATGAACATCTGTTCCTCAGAGGAAAGTGGAGATATTGCTGAGTTCTTATGAGTACACTCATTAGGAGGATTACTGTGGATCTTACTCCTTTTCCTGAAAACATGGTACAGATATCTATGGTATGAGGGACACAGCAGATTCTTCCCCAAGCAACTAACTGCTGCCACATGCTTATGTAATGACTGGGGCCTCCCAGGTGATGCTGTACACAGCATTACTGATCCATTACAATGTGTCAGTTCCAAGGTTCAGGTGAAGATCACTGTCATGATGCCAGTATGGGTATGTGAACACAGCCCTCTTGGCAAATGAAGTAGGTGAATTTTAACTAGATAAAGGTCCCCTGATGCTCCTGCTTTTAGGTGATGGGTGGTGACCAAGGAGGGGAACATGCACCCCTGTGATCTGACAAAGGCTTCAGACTAATTCTGCATGGCTGATGAATTGATCAGCACCCAAATCTACTGTTTTGTCTACCAGGTAGAAAAAAGTCACCTTTTCATGTTCTAGACCCAAAGAAAATGATCTAAGAAGTCAAAAACCAAAGGAAAGAAACCCAAGATACATTCCTTCTGCACAAATGGAAAACCAATGAGCTCTTTCGAGCAGCTGGAGTTCTCTTTCCAGAGCCTAACATACTGCGTGCTCTTTTGTCCGTGAGTCTGAGCCTCATTGTGTATGTCACTGCTTAACTCACTTTCTTTTTTAAAAAATATTTTAATTATAATATATATATGTGAGTGTATTGCCTGCATGTATGTAAGTGCACCCATGTCATGCAGTGTCCACAGAGATCTGAAAAGGGCACTGGATCCCCTGGAACTGAAATTACAAACAGTTGTTAGCCATCATGTGGATGCTGGGAACTGAACCCAGGTCTTCAGCAAAAGTAGTCAGTGCTCTTAACTGCTGAGCCATCTCTCCAGCCCCACTTTCTTTTATTCAATATTAATCAAACACCTACTGTACACCAAACACCATTTTTGGTACAGGAAAATAATGGTGAGTGTGTAGTCTGAGCCCTTACTTGAAACAATATGCAGCTAGGCTGTGATAACAAACGCCATGGATTTAGTGAATGCCTGCTATCTGCTGAGCATTGGCCAGGGCAGTACAGAGACAGAGGTAAGGAAACAGACTAGTTCTCGGCCATCTAGGGACAGTAACCCATAAACGGCATAAATATAGTCTAGGAAGAATAAAGCTGTAGAGAAGCCAGTGTGACCCAGAAAAATGGGAGGCAAGTGGAGACGCTTCAGTGGCTAATGTGGGCCTGGGTTACATTCATAGTTTGAAAGGACCCTTCTAGCCAAGCCCTGGTGGCACAGGCCTGTAATCACAGCTACTCAGCAGACTGAAGATTCTAAATTCAAGGGTAAGCTGGGCAATTTAGCAAGATTGGTCTCAAAATAAAAAAGTAGGAAAAAAGCTGGGTTATATAGCTCAGTGCTAGACTGCTTGCCCAGCATGCATGAGGCTGCAGCTTTTATCTTCAGTACAAGGAGAGAGGAAAAGAAAGAGAGGGGGATGCAGAGAGGAAATACGAAGAGCAAAGAAAAGGCAGGAAAGAAAGAGGAAGGGAGAAGACAGGGTAAAGAAAAGCAAAGAGCATTCTGCCGAGAAGGAAAACTGTCCACACTGGACTTGCCAGGATAGGTATAACCTAGTCTCTGTTCCGTATAACCCACAAATATCGCCTGATCCACAAGACAGACCAGGGAGACCATGGTTAGTACAGTGCAGTAGAATGAGGCTCTGGGGCTGGGCACATTGCTAATCATTAGGGGTTTGGACAGATTTCTTAACCTCTTGGAGGCCCCCGGGAACCACACCCCACCTTCACATGGTCCTTGGGTTCAGTTACATGAGTCTCCAGTCCCATAATCAGATCAGAGGCCACTCTGCTATGTGGACGTCCACAACTGCATGAAGCTGTGAAGATGGAGCCCGGTTGACAGTGGAAACCCCAAGATCCTGGAGATGCTAGAGCTGTGACACATCTACTAAGGAGAGCTGCATACAGGGAGTCGTACCAGCCCAAAAGGGAAAGACATATGTTTCACACAGCAAAGCTGGAGGGGCTGAGCCATTGAAACCCTTTGAAAATAAAGTCCTAGAAGTTAGACATGGAACTACTGGATTTGGTGTTTGTCCTGCTGGGTTTTGGTCTTACTCAGGTCCAGCACTTCCTCACTATGCCCCCACTCCTCCCTTTTGGAATGGGAATGTGTGTTCAGTTCCATTGTATATTGGAAGTATATAACTTATCTTTTGATTTTATAGGGACTTACAGCTAAGAGACTGCCTTGAGCCTCAGAAGAGACTTTGGACTTTTGAATAGTATCAGGACTGGTAAAGACTATGGGGACTTCTAAGGTTGGACTAAAGACATTTTGCCTTATGATATGGCCATTAGCCTATGAGGGCCAGGGAGTGGAATGTAGTAATTTGACTAAGTGCCCCCCCATAGGTTCCAAGTATTTGAACATTTTGTATGCAGTTGGTGGTGCTGTGCTGGGAGGTCTTAGGAGGTGTGGCCTTACTGGAGGAAGCATGTCACTGGGGATGGGCTTTGAGAGTTATTAAGCCTTGCCAGATTCTAGTAGCCATATCCTTCCTGTGCCTGCTTGAAGATATGATCGCTTGACTTTCTGCTCTGTCACCATGCTCCCCCTGCCATTATGGACTCTAACCCTCTGAACTGCAAACCAAATAAACTCCTCCTTCTATAAGTTTCCGTGGTCATGGTGTTTCATCACAGCAACAGAAAAGTAACTAATACAAGTGCTATATCCAATTGTGTTTCGGAAACAAAGCAATGAATCTGCTCTGAAGGTCATGGAAAACCAAAGCAGTGACCAGCAGACAGAAAGTTAAATAAGAGTGTGGGCTACTTACTCAGTTATAGAGTGAACATGCCCATATATGCGGCTGGAGCCACCAACATGGCCCATGTCACCTGTCTTTCCTCACAGCGCAGCAGACAGCAGTATTGTTCTCTGGGAATTCTTCTATCTTTGGTTCCAGCAGCTCAAACAGGAAATGAAGAGCTTGTCCTGCCTCAGTCTCCCAGACTAATGTGGATCCCAGGCTAATAGGGCAGGAGCCAGGAAGGTTGTGGTGTTGTTCTGCTGGTTTGGAAGAGGTACACTGCTATCTGGAAACAGGCCACCCTGTCTATGACTGTAGGGTAGCCTGCAATCTCATAAAGAAAGTGAGGCTGAGTTCACCCAGGAAAGAAACCCCATCTGAGAAACCTCTAAGGTCTGGCCTCTCCTCCTCTATACGAGCTTTGTCCACCCCATGGTGGTTTGAATGAGACTGTCCCCCATAAGCTCCAAGTATTTGGACATTTTATCCACAGCCGATGATGCTGTTTTGGGAGGCGTTAGAAGGTGTGGACATGCTGAAGGAAGCACATCACTGGAGACAGGCTTAGAGAGTTCTTAAGCCTTGCCGGATCTCCAGTTGCTCTCTGCTTTCTACGCCTGCTTGAAGATGTGAATGCTTAGCTTCTTCTCCTGCTCCAGCTACCTCACCATGCCTCCCCACCATGACAGACTCTAATCCTTCTGAACCTAGAACCCTAAGTTCAAATAAACTCTTCTTCCTATCTGCTTCCTTGGTCACAGTGTTTTATCATAGCAACAGAAAAGTAATTAAGACACACCCTCTGCAGGTCTCCATGGATGGGAGCCAGCTCTAGCTGCTAAAGACTTCAGCCAGAAGGACTTGGGTAAACTGCTGGTCACCTCAGCATCTCCAGAGAACTTCTGAGTGTCCTCAGGCTCATGAAAATTAGAGCAGGAAGGATCTAGACTCTCTATGGAGAGTAAAACTCTGAAGCTGAAGTAACTGCTGACTTCATGAAAAAGACACTAGACTAACTGTGCCCTCAACTTCCCGAAGCTAAGGGGTTCCTGATGAGGCTACACCTCCCAAGCCTCTGTAACCGCTGACCCTAGGGAACAAGAGGGAAGGGGTGACAGGACCAAACCAATGCTCCAGGGTGGCAGGTCCCACCTCTGGCATGTGGAAGTGTCATCTGTGGAGCTCATATAAAGTTTATTGCCTGGCCCACAGTAGATCTACTCCCACCCAAGGGCTGGAGAGTCACCAACCATTCACATTGTAAGCGGCCTCTCATTTTGACAGACTTGTCTAAGGATTCCCTAAGCAGTTAAGAGTTCAATCTTTGGCTCATACTTTTTATGAAACTAGTAGTTGTGACTTTGGGAAAGGTTTCTACGTTCTTAGATCTGGTTTCCTCATCTCAAATACATGGGTAAAGGCGAGATATATCTCATAAATTCATCAATGCACACAGCCTGGTTCAGTTTTGAATGCTGAGCAATGTGGCAGTCATGACCCAATCTGAACCCAGAGGTAGCTATGAAGTTGAGTATCCCAACTCTCCTCTGCTTCTGCAGGGTATGCTGTTACCATGCCCCTCTGGAGACAGCACTGCCAAAGTAGGGACAGAGTAACAAAGTGATTGGGAAGAGGCCCCAGAGAGTAGCACAAAAGGAGCTGGAGACAGATCCAGAACAGGCAGCCTCTGGGATATCAAACTATAGGATGACTGCTCAAAGCTCTCTGCTGAGCGAGGGCATTTGAGTGAAAAGGTGAAGAAAGGGACCCTGGAACGGCCCTGCGAAGTCGGCAGGATTTGCTCAATTAGAACAGGTTATATAACATTGGAAAAACTGCAGCATGAGCATATAATGACCCAGGGTGCTGTTCCACAAAGTGTGACTGCCAAGGGGGAGAGGGTTGCTCTTATGGTACCTAAGAGTCTTCACGAATAGGCTGAAGGAAAGGGGCAATGAGACTGGGCCTCTGGGGCTACTGGCACCCTGATGGACTGAGCTACAGAGCTCCAAGGGGCAGGAAGTCCTGCCAAGAAGAAGGAACCCATAGCAACTCCCCAGCAGTCTCCTACAAGATGTCACAGAATGCTTCCCTGCTGCTCTAAAGATGTGTACAGGGCCACCTGCCCCTTAATCCTTTCCCAGAAGACCTTGCTCCCAAGCCAGAGTTAACTGTGATCAGATCCAACTGGCCATGTTATCCTATCATAGGCCACCTTCCCAAAGCTACCTCTTCAAGGCCAGCCTGAAATTCCCTTCCACCTGCCACTGGAACAGAAGCCATGAGGGGTAGAACTCACCAGTACAGGTAGTAGAAGAAGGAGAGGAGATAGAAGGCTAGCTTACACCAGGCTTCCTTCTGACAGTAGCTCAAGGTGTCAGCATTCATGACAACTGGAGGGTCGTAGGCTAGTTCTGAGCTGTCCGCAGGACAGTGGAAATACCTGTAGGAAAGAAGACATGATAGCAATGTCTCTGAGACTCATGGCTCCCAATGGTATCAGGCCAAGCCCTTCTGGTGAAGGAGTTCTCTAGAGATCCCTGCCTCATGTGGATCAGAGTCTGGAAATCCCTGCAGTACAGTTCTGCCACAACCTTCCAGCAGGTGCTAAGCCTCCAACAGATCACTGGCATCATGTTGGTTACACCCACATAAAAAGATATTCTCACAGAAGGAAAAATGTGTCACTTAGTATTGTGGTTTGAATGTGAAATTCCCCCACCCCAGGCTCATGTGTTGTCATTTTTAGGGCCCAGCTGGTAGAACTGTTTTGGGAGGATGTGGAACTTTTAGGAAGTGGGGCCTGGTTAGAGAAGTGGGTAGGTAGGAGGTGGGCCTTGAGATTTATAGGCCAGCTCTACTTCCCACCCCGACTCTCTGCTTCCTGATCTACTAGGATGTAACAGGCAGCACTGGGGCAAGTTCCCACAGCCACAAACAGAACCTGGGCCGCCATGTTTTCTCCATCATGATGGAGTGTTTCCTTAAAGCATAAGCCAAAACAAATCCTTCCTGCTTTAAGTTGCTTCTGTCACAATAATGAGAAAAATGATACACCTGGTATCGCCTGGGAGGGGCCAAGACCTCCCTTTGGGTATAGATATGAGTGTGGGAGTATGGAAGCACTGTGACCAATACTGACATTGAATGTCATTCTGCCTTGAATGAATATTAATCACTTTGTATTAAATAGCACCCTCTACCTTGACCCTCATTTACATTTCTGAATACTATGGAGAGACATTACATTCCTCCTGGAGTATACAGTTATTTTTCATGTTCTTGTTTACTTGATACAAAGTCTCAGAAGAACAAAAAGAAAATTCACCATTTTTGGAGAAGCTGAGGGAGAAGCTGGGTGGAGGGGTACACTGTCCACATCAAAGTCCATAGCCACATCAACTGCACACACAGCAGCTGGTCAAGGTCAGGAAGGGAGCAGCTCACATGACATCTGGGGCCTTGTACAGTAGTACCTGCCTTTGGTTCTTGTCCCACCAATATCAGCAGGGCATAGGCAGAGCCCAAGATCCCAGCGTATCTGGAATGGGCCAGTGCTGCTCTTTGCTCTTTGGTCTGGGAACGGATCTGGGAGGCAGGGGTGCAGACTCATGCTCCTGTCAGACCCTAGACAGGCAGTGCTTCTCCACCCTGCAGAATCACCCAGCCTAGCCTGACCAGGAGACTGATTGTGCCAACTTTGAAGACTGCCTTGATAGTGCAGCACCTGCGGAGCTGGCATCTCAGTTCCCTCTTCTTTCCAGTTCAGAGAATGGCACTGGCATTATCCGTCACCAACACTATGCTAAGAGGACATCACAAGCCAGATTTGATGACAGCTGCCAGCTCATAGCCCTCAGGCCACTTACCTCTCCTCTTCTCCAGAGCAGATTTCAAAACTTATTTGCTGTCACTGTGGCTTTGTTTCCAGGTGACCTCATTAAATAGAGGCAGAGGAACGGGATGACCAAATGGCTTGGTGGGAAGGACTAAGACAGATACTTTTGCTTGCTGGTTGCTAGACTGTCTTTCCTTGAGTCAGTCATCAACCCACCCTGGGTCTCAATTTCTCATCTGTAAAATGTGAATGAAATTTCCTACCTCAAAGGGCAGTTGCGATGCTGATGTGAGGTACAAATAACCCCAAAAAACAGACACTAAAAAATGGTGACCAGTTTTATTGAAGCAAAGTGAGCTGAGCATGAGAAGAGAGGGGACTTGTCTGCAATAGAAACTCCATAAGGAGGAGACTGGGGACATAGTTGAGTCCTAAAGTGCTTGTCTTGCAAGCAAGAGGACCCGAGTTCAATCCCCAGAACTCACATAAAAATGCGGAGCATGGTGGAGTGAGCTTGTAATTTCAGTGCTGGGGAGGCAGCACTGGCCTGCTAGGTGAGTTCCAGGCCTATGAGAGACCTTGTCTAAAACAATAAAAGGTAGACAGCATACCTGAGGTTGTCCTCTGACCTTCAAACACACATGCACACACAGAGGAAAGAGGCAGAGAAAAGAAAAAAGGGGTGTTGGGGAACTCGGGATATTAAAGGACTTTTCTGCTGGTCTTCTGTTTCTCTTTTGTGTTCTGATGACTTCTTAATTATGAAGAGGTTGGTCAGAGACCACCAAAGATCCCAAAACCAAGACAAAGCCCTCAGTCTTTATAAGATCATGGCTGCTCCCTGTCTTCACAGACATACATTCCGGGAGTGAATGCTGAGCTCTCCTTTTCCTTGCTCAAGACAGGTAGTACCCTTAGAAGAAAGCTCCTGTCCAAGTGCTGTAATCTGACCATGTTTTCTTTCTTTTTGTGGTGCTAGGGGTGGAACCCAGGGCCTCCAATACAATAAGCCCCACCTCTAGCTCCTACCACATTTTTGATTAGTTGCATTCATAGCTCACAACTTGAAGAATCACAGGAGAAATTTCTTTTGTAAGGAAGTGATTCAGATCAGGCTGCATGTGAGGTAGAGGGAGCCCAGAGCAAAGGTCTCAGGTGAACCATGATCACAAACAAGCTGAGCAAACTGGGCAGTTGCCTTACACTATGGGCTTCCTTGACCCTGTATGTAGAACAGGGAAGAAGAGGCCGACACCTGGCAGCTGTTGTAGATTCTAGATGGGGTGATGTAGGGAGAATTCTTGAAGAATGTCACACTATTCAACACTAGGGCTCTTCTGTGTGTCTTCTTTCTGTGTCCAAATGTTAGCAGATTGCCTTTACTTAGTGCTGCAACTTGGCTCTGGAACATTCCCCAGGTATGACAGGCCTGGTTCCCAGCCCATGGTGCAACCAGGAGGTAATGAAGCTTTTAAGAAGTGGGTCTCAATGAGTAGATGCCAGAAGAGGGAGAGTCAGTTTTCCTTACTGGTGTGACGCCTGGCAAATTGACCAGACTCCAAAGGATAGACCCACACCCAAGAACATTTAGGAAACACAGGTGAGACTTGATAAGCCTTTAAAAATGTGTTTTATTATTTTTATTTTATGCATATAAGTGTTTTGCCTGCATGTAATAAGTGCACCACATGTATGCAATGTCCGTGGAGGCCAGAAGGGAGTATTGGGTCCCCTGGAACTCGAGTTATGGATGGTTGTTAGCTGCCATGTGGGTGTTGGGAATCAAACCTAGGTCCTCTGGAAGAACAGCAAGTGTTCTTAACCTCTGAGCCATCTCTCTAGCCCCTCAATGAGCCTTTTTAAAAAAGACAAATAACAGAGGATGTGAAGTTGGGGTGGGTAGTAAGGTGGGGGAGGAGAGAGAGGGAAGTCTGAATATGATCAAAATACATTGTATGAAATTGTCAGATCAATAAAATATTTTAAGTCATGCCTAGTGTGCAGTCTTAAGTCATGGAAAGAGAGTATACCCTTGAAAGAGATTATGGGATGGATGTCTCTTACGCTTTCTTTCATTTCCTGTCCACTATGAGGTGAACAGCTTCCCCCACTGCACACTTTCCAACTCCTCTCAGGTCAAAAGCATCAGGGCCCACTGACCATGGTCTGAAATCTCTAAAACTCTGAGCTACAATAAATCATTCTTTTTTATAAATTGGTTATCATGGGTATTTTGTTATAGTACTAAAAAACCAGCATTCTTAATATAGAGCTTGTCTATGTAACAATTTTCCTTCTTCCCTAGATCTTTGACTTCTGCCCTCTGTGTTGGGTCAACAGTACCATCACCCTCTCAGCCATCCAGCTCAGAGTCTCCCTCTCCTTCACCTATGCCCAATTGCTGGTCAAGGCCTGTCCAGTTTACTTCCACAGTTCTGGCCTCTCAACATGCCAACTTCCATTGTCCAGGGCAGGTCTCCCTCATCCCTGCATCTCTCTTATCACTCACCTGGAGTTTTGTCATGATCCTAATTTGATTTCCACCTCAATACCTCTCCTTGGGACCCACCCTTCACATTCCTGCTAGGATCAGCTTCCTAAAACCTAAAACATATAATGCCAATTTCCTCCTCCAGAGATTCTGATGGCTTTCTAGTCCCTATAGATGAATTAATTCCAACCTGTCCATTGAACCATCTCTGGCATTCCATATAAGATTCCCAGTTGTTCATCAATGCCATCCTCCAAGAACCTCTAACCAACCATTCTGGGAAAACAAACAAACAAACAAAATGCTCTTCTGCTCTTCCTTAAACATGCCTAGTGCTCTCTCACTCTGGGCCTTTGAACATGCTGGTCCATGTGTGCTTTTCTAGATTTTCCAGCATCATTCTTCGGCCTAGCTTAAGAGTTTCTTTTTATATGTTCCTACAGATAGTTCTCATATGTCTGTTATGAAGATACTCCCTTTAGTTGCTAGGATATGCCTAGGAGAAGGATTCATATGTACTCATATATTTTCATCTGGGAATTCCCTTCAATGCCTAGAAAGCAGTGTGTGTCCCTGTTTGCTAATGAAGGAGTGGAATACTCTGGGTGTGCCTGAGTCGAAGTTATATTTTATGATAAGATGGTAATGATGAACCAATTGGTCTGGAGGTCCAGAGCTCTGAGATCAAGGGATTTAAGGCAAGGAATTCTTCCACATAATTACTCTCCACTTCTTTGGTATTTACTACCCTGCCCCATATCCATCCTATAGAAAGCCCAAGTTGCACAATCTAAAGCAAGGTCTTTAGAAGAGAATAAAATATTTGAAATCAGAATGGTCCCAGAAAATCTAGTCCATCTGATAGTTGCTTTTTTTTTTCTTTAAAAAAAGAAAACAAACATACCATGGAAATCATTGTTTTAAAGTGTACAATTCAGCGAGCTTTAGTATATTTATAGAGTTGTACAACTATCAATATTATCTGACTTCAAAGTACTTTCATCACCCTAGGAAAAGCCTTGTACTCATTGGCAGTCATCTCCCAGCTCCCTCCCAGACTTCGAAAACCACTAATTTACTTTCTATCTCTATAGATTTGACTGTTCTGGACAGTGCATAGAGCCATATAATATGTGGCCATTGTGTCTGACTTCTTGAACTTATTTTGAGGCTCATCCATGTTGTAGCAGATATCACTACTTTGTGTTGTTTTAAATTTCCAAATAATAAACATTCCATTGTATGGCTATACCACATTTTGTTTATCCATTCATAAGCTGATAGGCATTGATGTTGTCTGTGTTTTAGCTACATTGAATAATGCTTAGCTTCTTTTTCACACTGTCCCACAGGATTGGGTTTGATTAACAGAGTCAAGAAGGACTGACTTCCCAGTTCTGGAAGGGAAATTTGGAGAGGTCTGTCCTAGTTATCTTTGCCAACTTGACACAGCCTATAGTCATCTGATGGCCCAGTCCACTGTGGGTGGCACCATTCCCTAGGCAGGTGGTCCTGGTTATCTAAGCATGAGTCTGTGAACCAGCCAGCAAACAGCATTCCTCCATGGTTTCTTCCTTCAAACTCCTGCTTGAGTTCCAGCCCTGAGTTCCTTCAATGGTGGACTACAACCTGTAAGCTGAAATAAACCTTATCCTTCCCTAAGTTGCTTTTTGTTAGAGTGGTTTTTACACTAGAACAAGGTTTCTAAAAGAGAAGGATGAAAGGAAGGCACTGAATGGCTGATCTTTTGGGCAACATTGTCACTTGTAGAGAAAAATGGGAGGAGGATGAACCAGTTCTAGGCAGACCTACCTCCAGAAGTGATAGAAAAGCAGAGGAACATTCAGCCCCAGGGTGAGCCATTCCTGAGCACACAGGAACATGATGCAGAAGAGGCTGTGGATAGAGTACTCTGGCAGCACTAGCTGGAGAGAGAGCAGAGACACAGGCCTGGTTAGAGGAAGAAAGGGCGCCCTGCTTCGAAGGCCTCCACCGACACACTGCCTCCCATGTGAAGGCCCTTCCTGCAGTATGGTCCCCTGTGACTGAGCACTTGGGGAAAGTGCTCTGTGTTTTATACCCAACTCCAAGTGGACATAGGCCCTCTGCACTCACCCCTGGGGCCACTGATAGCTGAGAAAAAGGGAGGAGGTGACCCAGCATCTGAGCTATCTTATTTAAGGCAGACCATGAGGAGAACACTAACAGGATTCTTTCTGTCACCCTTTAGCTGTCTTGTTTTTGTGTTTCTGGTTCCCATGTGCCCTCCTCTAGCAAATAGGTGTGTTTACTTCCAATACAGGAGGGTCAAAAAAGGCATTGCAAAAGAAAAGGCATTTGACTTGATGGATGGGTCAGGAAGAACCCAAAAGAAATACATGTAGCAATGGTAAAGAGGGACAGGTAGCCTCTGGGTGAAGGAAGAGGAATGAACTTGGACCCAGAAGAGCCCGAGGGAAGGGTGGTCAGCAGGAAGATGAATATCCCTGCCCCATGAGGTGCTCACATGTCAACAGAGATGAAACTGCAAGCTAAAGGTGACTATGAGGTAGAAATTTGATCCCTTGCAGCAAGGAAAGCTATAGGGATGCAAACGTACTCTGACTATCCTTCTAGGGCCATCTCAAACTCCAGTTTCTAAAGGAATCCTTGTCCATCCTCCCCTATATCTCTGTCCTTGTGGGAATCAGTTCTCCCCTTCTACCATGTGAGTCCTGGGGATAGACAGATCATCAGGCTTGGCAGCAGGCAGCTTTACCTGCTAGGCCATCTTGTCAACCCCTCCACAGCATGTTTTCTGACCCTTTCTTACTTCCTTAGAGACTTTCCCAGCCACTCTCTATGGGATTATCCTACACACACACACACACACACACACACACACACACACACACAGATATATTCCAGCACTCCATAAACTGACTAGCCAAAGTCTGCCCTGTTCTCATCTCCATTTGCAAAGTTCTTTGCAGGGTGCCTGACATGTCTTATCTAATGACCTGGCCTCATGTTATTCCATCAGTTCTTCTTAGAGGCCCTCGAAGCTGTGCTTCCCAGCTCCATTTCACCCAGCCAGGTTACCTCCCATGCATAGACAGCCCACGTTCTCAGAGCTAGGCCTGCCAGCTCCCAGCTCTGCTCTGCCGTGCACATCTCTACATTCTGTAATCGTCACTTCCAAGCACTTATGCCAAGTCATTAACATGTTTAGAGACAGCTACTCTGAGCCTGAATCATCCATTACAGCCCCATTCCTGTCTCCAATGACAATGACAAATCTCTGAGTGATGATGGTTCAGAATTCAGGTCCCTGTATCAATCACGCTGCTGTTCTTCCTTTGGGACTTGATTTAAAGCGGAAGCTATGACTATGGAGGAGGATTGATCACCATTCTCTGTACAGAGGTAACTACTTAATGAAGGCCAGCTCATCCCCAGGGGCCTCCTGCCTTTTAGGGGTAAGAAAAAAAAAGTTTAAGAAAATCTTGCTGTTCTGCATGGTCTTCCAGTTGCCTCCAAATATATGAGACACTGAGTGGGGTCCTCTCCTTAATCCTTTGTGATAGACAAACTGTTCCTATTTTCTCCAGGCATCCCTTGTCACACTGATGTGTACAATGTGGGGATCCTATTCCTTCTAGACCAGATGGAACTCAGCCAGGCCACCTGCACTGGCTTACAACATGGCCTTTCTGCACCACCCACAACCTTCCAGTACTTGGCCTTTGGAACATAAAATGCCATGTCCCAGGTCCCAGCAGCTGGGAGGGGTCCATAGGCTATGGGCAGAGATCATATGAGAAGCCTGGAGCAATAAACAGCCAATGAAAAATGCCCCAGAGTCCCATTCTCGTTCCTCTGACATAGCAAAGAACAGTTATCATGGTGGGTACTCCATCATCCTGACACTACAAAGAGAGAGGCCCCCAGGCAACCTGTGATGGGCTTGGAGCATGAACAAGAAATAAACTTTTGTTGTTCTGAGCTACTGAGAGTTGAGTGTTGTTTCTTAATATAGCAGACTTTGATCCATTTTCTCTGATACAGTCAGCAGCCCCAGAATGAGTAATCAATGAGAAAAGCAAGTGATGTTCTTCCTCCCTCTTTATCCTCTCCTGAGCATCCTCCAGACCTTTATTTAATAAGCCATTGAGGCTGGTATGACATGCTCCTGTCACTGGACATGCTGGGCAGCAGGTAAAAGGCCATCAGGCAGGCATAGAGCTTATTTGTTCATCTGGGCCACCAGCTAGGATGCTCCTTCCCAGCTCTGAGAGACTCTAACTGCTATGGAAAGACATCTGACCCCTGAATCTACCAGCAAAAATACAGAAAGGTTTGATTGAAGCTCTGACAAACCCCATAACCTGCATCATTCTTTAGCACTGGATGACACCGTTTTCCATGACAGAGCTGTTGAATGGCACCAATCACTGCCTTTTATTTAATGAATAACAACTGGAAACTATTTCATGCAGGCCACAGTCTTGAAGCCCCATGCCTGGCTATCTATAGTGATAAATAGTAATGGAGTGCCCTCACTATAGACATTGTAGGACTGCTGAAAAGACCACAGTTCATACCACATCTAGTGCACACACCTGTAGTCCCAGGCTGAGGGAGGGGGACGGTGAGTTTGAGGCCAGCTTGGGCTACATAGTGAGATCTGGTCTTAAAAATCCAAAACTAAAGAAAAGATTGCACTTCGTTCAACTATGAAGTGGCTATGATCAAGACAGAAATAAATGCTGTTGGAAGGGATGAGTAGACCTAATTGTGTGTGAAAACCAGAGGTCAGCAAAGACAGGGAGAGCAAAAACAAAGACAGGGGCTGGGGAGATGGCTTAGTGGTCAAAGTGCTTGCCACAAGTGTGTGAGAAACAGAATTTAGATCCTCAGAAACTCTCATAAGTGGTGGGTGAGCATGGTAGTCCTCCTGTAATTTCAGACTCAGCAGGAGGAAAAAGGGGATTCCCAGAGCAAGCAGCTGGTATGGCTAGCCATATTGGTGAGCTCTGGGTTTGACCGAGAGACCCTCCCCCAATGAATAAAGTGGAAGATGGATGAAGGGTGAGTGCCAGCACCAACCTCAGTACTCCAAATATACATGCACACGTGTGCACACACCCCCACATATGTGCACATACATGCAATACACAGCACACACACACACACACACACACACACACACACACACACACACACCAAAAAGTGGAAAAAGAAAAAACCAAAACAAACAAAGATGGAAGTCACTGCCTTGGGCAACTCCTTCACAAGCCACTGAAAAGGCCAATTACTAATAGTGTATAGGTCAGGCTTAATGCCAGCTAAGACCTGGGTACCTGCCAATCCCATTCCACTTCTGACTTCCTGCCCAGAGTCTAGTAGTCAGTTTCCATCTGCTGGCTAATATCCCCATCTGGATATTCTCAGATCACACTGAACTGAATGTGCACAGTCAACCCAGTACCTGCAAACTTTATCCCCTGAGCCTCTAGCTTCTCCTAACAACAGCTGCCTCTGCCTCCTCTTTCTCACCTGCTGCATCTGCAGTGGGCTTCCAATGCTCACACAGCTTCTTTTCTCTGCTCTTTTTTATTTCTACTGCCCCTTACAGGCCTAGACTCCCTGTACCACCACCAACGCTGGTACAAGAAACTTCTAGGAGGGTTTTGTCCCAGAGCAGAGGCTCCCTCTGCCCCACAAAGCAACCACCTCCTTTCTTTTACATCTGTCATGTGTGGCTCACCCACAACCTTGCTTTACCAGGAATTTTCAAAATTAAATTCATCTTTGTACACACAAAAAATGTAATTTTATTGTCCATTAAAATAAAGTATTAAGTACTCGGTTTTAGCAAGCTCAAGTACTTAAAATATATTCTGTAAAACTCAATAGCAAAATACACTAGAATTAGAGTTCAGAATTTATAACTTTTTGTCTTTTATTAGTTATATTTGTTCTTAGATAACTTCATGTGTACAGAATGCTAGATTCTGGGAGAGGGGGAATCATTGTCTCCAATTACATTCATTTGGTTTAAATTTGATTTTGTTTGTAATCAAAATATCTTATTCCTATTGATGCCCCTTCTCATCCATCCCCACCCTCCATTCATTTACCGCTAGGATGCAGATGAGAAGCAGCTGGTGGGTAACCTTTGCATGTCATGAGAAATGCCACAATGTGATGGGTTGGGTCTTCTTTTCACTAAGCTGGTAGATAGGGCAGTGGGGATGGAAGGAGAGAGTCTTCTAGCCTCAGAGGAAGAGGAAGTAGAGGGTGGATGTCATACCTGAAGTGCAGGACTGATGTGCTTTGGGAAAGAAGATTCCCTAAAGGTAGGGGGTGGTGCAGGTGGTCTGAGACAAGCAATCTACCATGCATCCCAAAGTGAGAGGATTTCTGTGTGTGTATGTGGGTGTGGTGTATGCATGGGCATACACGTATGTGTGCAGGTGCATACGTCTGTATGCATGCATGCAGAGGTCAGAGGAGGACATCAAGTGTCCTCTATTACTCTCTGCCTTATACCTTGAGCAAGGGTCTCTCACTGAACCTGAAGCTCACTTTTCTTTTCTTCGGCCAGCTAGGCCGGCAGACAGTAAGCCCCAGCAATCCTCCTGTCTCTACCCCACTCAGTGCTAGAGTTGCAGTTGCCCACAACCATACCAGGTTTTTATGTGCTTGTAGGAGATCCAAATTCAGCTCCTCACGTTTGCCAGGCAAGCACTCTTATTCACCGAGCCATCTCCCCTGCCTAGGCACAGGATTTCCAAGATCAAACATAGTAGGTCCACAGCCATGGAATTCTCAGGGAGATCCGGGCCTGGGTTTATTTAGCTTGAGGACCATAGAAATCGCAAGGCTCAGTCCCTGCACACCCACCCCCGCCTCTGAATACGCCGTCAGTTCAGAAAACAAG